GGTTCTTTCAAGTTCTTTGCTCTTAAAGGAACCGTTTACTTGAAAATTCTGTGGAACACATAAGGAGAAAGTTTTGAAGAATGTCCAAGCCAATCTTTTAGTGGCCAGGGGCTGTCAAGTTTCAAATGACAATCCTATGTGAAATACAGTAACCTAAGTCTTACAATAAAATTATGGTACTTTCATAGTGCTATTTGTTATTTTTTTTTCAATGGCCATCCAATTCTGCTCACCATTTAGTTTCATTATTTGGAAAGAGCAGAGGGAACACCATCTCCTTTCTACAGAAGGAAAATCATATGGGTGTGGATTTGGAATGGTGTTAGAGTGAATAATGATAACAGCATTTTCTGGTGACTCATTCCTTGGAATTTTCTATGAAGGATTTTAGACATGCTGTCAAAGTGAAAACAATCTCAATCGTCTCCTCATCTCCGCTAATGTGGCATAGATTCTTTCCCTCTTCTTCAGAGTGTGAGTTACAGTATATATTGTGATTTCCACCACTGTTGCCTCTGCTGAACCTTGTTTTCCTCTCTGCGCGTCCTCGTTCCGTCAGTTTAATCAACACTTTTAATTACAGACACTTTAGGTCGTCTTGTGTTCGTTTGGTTGCCACCTTTGGGAGATCCTGCCATGGAGGGGAAAAAAAGGAGACCAAAAAAAAGGTCCTTGTCTTCCCATGGGTGTTGGAACAGGCTTGGTAATAGCCAGCCTCTGCCAGTCAGTCAACTCTATTGCCAGCTCACATCTCTGCAGCCCGCTGGGTTTTTCCAACATTGTCTTGATAAATGGATTTTTGCCTTGACTCGAATGTGTCCTCTTAAGATGGGTGGGACGAGGACGCTTGGGCTTACATTCCATCAAGCCTTAGTCACATCATCAGGGTCACACGAACATATAGCCTAGATTCTCACAGGTTTTCATCCAATGATGTATTATGCATTGCTACTGTAAGAGGTGAAGTGCACCAAATCTGTTTCAAGATGTTTTGACCACGTTTTTGGCAACTTCTGTCACGTGACCAGTTTGTGCAGGTTTGTTTCTAAACAAGGGCATATTGCCACTTCCACCTCATCTCCATTCAAACCAACTCATACCGTTGGTTGAGCCAAATGTTGACGTTAAAGGGGTCATATGATGCGATTTTCCTTCGTCGAATCCGCCGGCCGCCGCTCACTCTAGCCGCCGGCCACCGTTCACTCAAGCCCACCGTGTGTGACGCTGTGTGTTTCGTTGTGAAAGCGAAACTACTTTGTTTGGCCTTCCAAAAGAGGACACGACTAGAAATCAGTGGTTAAGTTGTATTTACAACACTGTTCCAGAACAGTTCAACCCAAATATTCAGATGTGTGCAGCACATTTTATGGAGTACTGTTTCCTGATCCTGGTAGAGTAGACTACGATGCCGGCTGTTCTGACTCACAGACTGGAAGTAAGTTTTTTTTATATGTAAAGAATTTGCCACTGACGATTCAAATGCGAGTTTTGAGCAGTGTAGAGTAGCGCTTGTTGTTTGTCATTTCTCCGATCACAAATGCAGACATGGTTTCATGTTTACGCGGTTAGAATTAGTAAAAAGACGCGTAAAAAGACAGTATAAGTCATTATAATCCGTAATTATGTCCCCACTGGATGCAACAAATGCCTCGTTCCAGCCGGACAGGGCATCACAGTATGGTAGGGGCATAACATTTCCGTCACACACTTGAGGTATTCAGCCAATCACAACGCACTGGATAGCTGGCCAATCAGAGCACACCTCACTTTTCGGACCGATTAGCTTTGTAAAAATCGGCACATTCAGAAAGGCGGGGCATAGAGGAGAAACAATAATGTACAGTATGTGGAAAGTAATGTGTTTTTTTAACCTTAAACCGCATAAACACATTTCATTACACCAAATGCACAAAATAATGTTCTTTTTCGCAACATCATATGACCCCTTTAACCTGGTGAGGATTTTTAGCCTCTGTAGATGTTGTAACTACAACTATATTACACTGGTGAAAACCCCTTTTTTTTCATTGACATTTAAACAGATAGTTCACCCAAAAATGAAAATGACCCCATGATTTACTCACCCTCAAGCCATCCTAGGTGTAGATGACTTTCTTCTTTCAGATGAATACAATCGGAGTATAGTAAAAAAATGTCCTGGCTCTTCCAAGCTTTATAATGGCAATGAATGGGTGTTGAGATTTTGAAGTCCAATAAAGTGCATAAATCCATCATAAAAAGTGCTCCACAAGGGTCCAGGTGGTTAATAAAGGCCTTCTGAAGCAAGTGATGCATTTGTGTAAGGAAAAATATCCATATTTAACGAGAGAGTGATGTTTCAGCAGATGACGTAGGATGTAGGCATAGAGTTATGTATATTAGAGTTATGTATCCACCTTATTCCTAAACGCGGAAGTAAGCCTATGGGCGAGACTTCCGGTTCATTAACTGCTATAGGGAAATAACGAGAAGAATAACAACGTTCAGTAAACGGTAAAACTATTTGCCCTACAAACCAGTGTGTTCATAATTAAGATAATGCACTAAAATAATATGGTAAGACACACTAATTTGCAATATCAAGCAGCAAAACAAGCGGTTTTGTACAACTAAAAATAGCTGGAGGCAAATGAGACTGGAAGCAAGTCCCACAGAATTTACAAATGCCCACGCCCATATTTACAGGAAGAATAAGGTGGGTACATATTAGAATTTCATGGACTGCTAAGTCAAATTTACAGTGGTGATTTATTCAGTACCCATGATCAGTGACATCGCTAGAGTTTCTAAGGCCAAGGTACTGCATTATTACTTAAAAGTTATATACTTTTATTATCTATCTTTCACCTTGCCTTTTGGCAATAGAAGGCTTTTTAACCTCCAGAGCAATTGGAAATACATACAGGATGGTGTGCAAAGCAAACCATGATGCAAACAGCATTTTAGAGTACAATGCAGGGTTGAACTAGACAATACATCAGAAAAAAAACAAAAACAGGCTGCGGTGATCTTTTGGGTTATATTCAACCCAGTTATTCTGCACTGGCTTTTATTTGTTTATTGCTTTATTAGGAAATTCCAGAAACGTCTTATGATGATCAGTATTCAGATGATCAGGTTGAAGAAGCAAATGGTGCTTGTTTAACAAAGCGTGTGTTTTTAAAACATTATAACTAAATAATTAATGAATAACGAATGGGTATTATCTATACATTCATAGAGTTTTCTCTGTGATTTATAACACTGTTTGGGTGGGTCAGGATGTCAAAGAGTAATGCAAATAAAGGGAAAAATACTACTTGATTAAAAGGATAGATTCATTTTACTATACAACACAAAAACATGCAGTAGAGGGTTAAAAATCCCTTTGTCTTTCAGAAATGTATGCTGTTGAGGTCTACAGCTCCCAATGGTTTACTTTGCTTTATAGTGTTCACCAAGTTGCCTGTGTAATAATAAATGACTCATTAGAAGGCACAAAACATGTTTTATAGTTCTCCTTTTTCCTTTTTTTTCTGCACAAGGACAGCATTTCTCAGCCCTGTAATAATGCATTTGGATGGCTCTCATGTTGCTGAGAGCTAAGAAAACATTAAGGTAGTCAACTCGTAAGTATTTGATTTACCCAGCGCTGAAGATGGATTTAATTTTAATTGTTTAAGAAGCGGTGTTCTGCCTACATTCAAAAATTATAACGTTTTAAAATAACCAATGTTAAGGGTCTGGGTTATGTAATTCATGATGATGCTTAAATGGACAATGGGTGTAATTATTGTGCATGGAAAACAAAACGGCTCTAATTTACCATAATAATCAGACATGCAAAGCTATGAGAAACTAGCTACCAAGCATAAAAAATGATGTGGGATGTTTCAGCATTTGTTAAAGACTACATGTTTACTCAAATCTGTTTTTAGGTTGTAGGTAGCTGTAGGCCTACTCAGGTTTACTGTTAGTTCTACAGTTTTTTCCATAACAAAGCCATTTTTAATGAATTCCGAGTTGTTTGCTTGTGCAGAACTCTCCACTATGATGCTATAGGTTGTATTTGGGGAGGTTGTTTATTAGTTAATTCATTCACACAGACTAGGGTTGCCAACTTCAGAAAAGGAAAATACGGGACAATCGCATATATATATATATGCAAATTAGCATGTTAGTCAAATCAAAAGAATCTGTACCCGTGTCTTTATTATTCTAATATTTAGATATGTCATTTATAGATATAAACTGTAATTTATATCCTATGAAAACAAAATTGAGTTGCATCTTCGAGCAACACACATTAGTGGTGTTTTGTTTCTGAATGAATCATAGTTGAATTAATCTGTTGGGTGAATAATTCAATGACTCACAAACACAGTCACTTGCTACCCACTAGTGTAACCATGGAACTTGCCGAAAGACTCACAGGACATGTCAAAAATAAAGTGTGACCACAAATGAAGAATTTCCACAACTTGTGGCCACATTTTAGTCACTTATTCCTTTGTTTTATGTAAAATGTGGCCACGTTTTACTAAATTCTTCTCTTGTTGGTGATTTTAACCAGGGGGAATGCATCAAACTATCAAAACGTTTCTTAGTAAGCAGTAATTAGCTTGCAAACACAGTTAGCATTTTCTAACTTGTTTACCCTAACCTGAAGAATCCTTCATTCCGAAGGGCCCTTTGAAGTGGCCAAGTTTTGAATTCTTCGGTATGGAACAACCCTTCAATATTGGTGGCCATGATTAATTTATCCCATTCAGAACACAGAAATAGTTGCTTTTTCAAACTCACTTTTATCCAGAAAACATTTGAAGGAAAGCAATAACCACACCTCTGAATCTCCCTGATGTCTCAATTAGCAGCCGCTAATCTGAAGCATGATTTCAGGTTCTAATGGCGCCTTAATAATGAACACCGTTGTCCAGCTTTACTAGTAATGGCACAGTGTTGTTTCATGTCTCTCTCTCTCTCTCTCTCTCTCTCTCTCTTTCTCTCTCTCTGTGTTTCAGGCTCTCTTCTCTCATTAATTACAGAGCTGGGCGCTAAGAGAAAGTTCACTGACTGAAGGTAAGTGTATTTATTGCATCGCTTTGACAATGAAATCAGCCAGGTTCATTGATTTTTCGTCTCTCTCACACTGTTTATTTTATTTGGTGGACTTGTGAGCAAGTTGATTACAGATAAAACAAGTAGGAGAACTGGTGGCACAATCGAGAAAAATGGTTTGTTAGAGGTGAGGTGCAATAAATGAGCCCAGCAGATGTTTCTGGATGTTGGCAGTGGTTGTAGCACGCTTTGCTTATTTAGATTCTAGCCATGCTAACTCTTCAGAGAGCAGCACATGTGACACTAATCCCAATAGGCTCCAGAGGTAAGGTAACATGATAAGGTGATGCTTCTTTCTGTTGTTCTGTTGTCTCGTGTTTTAGTATAAAAACACTGGCTGCATTTCATTTTCCCGTCCTTGTTTTTTGAGCGTGATGGGCACGCTTAAATAAAAGTAGAGTAAAATGTGTCTGTAGGTCCCCTGTGGCCCTTTTGTTTCTTTTCCCAAAACACTGCCGGTTTATTGCCAGTTCTGCAGTTTTCCTGAAACTAAATAAATAAATGAAAAACATTTTTAAAGAATATCACGTGTGTGCTTGTGTGAAATTCTCCACTATGATGTTAAGTTATACTTGGGGTTGTCAGGGCCACTAGTCAGAGTCAGTCGAAATAGACAGATTACCCCGAAAATCATTTGATTTTTTTAAGTTCTCAGATTATGATTTGATTTATTGCATTAAAAAGTAACGTTTGGCGGCACAGTCTAAAAAAGTCTTATGGTTTAATGTACTAAAACAATGACCAGGGCTGATTTATTTCATGTTTTAGCTGAAACTCATTTAACTCTTTTATGGAAATGTTTGTGCAAATGTATGTTTTGGTTTTATCTATCCTATTTTTGTATTTATTGATTTGTTTTAACTCTTTAAATTTCTGTATTGATATAGTAAGGCAAACTTAATTTTGGCAAAATGGTTTGTTTCAATTAGTACAAGTGGGACAATGTGTAATTAAGATGCTGTCAATAGATAACGTGATGATAGTGGATGTGTTGCGTTTTGAGCAGAAAGAAACTAGATTATTGTTAGCACAGTAAATCTTCGGCCTCTGTTGTTGAGTGAAGTTGGTGCTGTTTTTACTACTCAACAGTTTTGGTTTTAGACTGGTTTTATTAATAATCTTTCTTTTTGTTTACGCTTTTATACGCTATATATTATGCACACAGCTTCTAAGGAGGCACCGTTTTCAACTAAAAACAAAAACTTTTTTCTTTTGTTTTTGCTTTTATATGCTATTTATTTTGCACACAGCTTCTAAGAAGGCACCGTTTTCAACTAAAAACTAAAACGTTTTTCTGCGTTTTGGCTATTAATTTATTCGACAACACGTTTTGGGAGCCTAAAAATGCAAACATTTGAAAACGGGTTTCACAATGCACATTTTTGGAAATGGTACTGTAATTGTCTCCGTTTAATCTATAAAAAAGCTAATTTGTGAAAACGGTGACATCATATGCATACGAATTACATATTCAGTCAATAGGCGCAGCTGCATAGTGCTTCTTTACAAGTGATATCGCCAACTACTGATCTGGCATGCATAATACAGCTTTTTTTTAGTCATGTCTGCAGATCTATGTGAACGGGGATCGTTTTGACAGCGTTGTTGTCTGTACACAACATTTTTCAAAAATGCAAAGGAAAACCTTTTTTATATTGTAGTACATTGTTGTCATGTAAATGTACCCTAAATAACATACTGAATTTGTTTTCGTTTTTACAACTCTGGTCCGTTATCACAGTGTACTTGCTGACTCTCTCTCTTTCTCTCTCTCACACACACACACACACACACACACACACCTTGAGAGAGAGTGAAGCACATAGACACACAGTATTAATGTAAATAGTTAAATAGTTATGTAAATAGTTAACAGTTATATAGTTATGATGAACAAACAGTGCTAAGTGACAAATACTTTAAAACCCTGACATAGTCATGGGGTTGTTCAAATCCTAACCACTAAGTAAGTACAGTATTAGCAATAGCAAGCACCACTAATAATATCAAACACAGCATGTTTTTTTTTATTATTATTCAACTTGTCTTTGTGACATTTTAAATTAGGTGTTTAGTAGAGCTGTGAACGCATGTCAAAACAAATCTGCAAATAAAAAAAACACCCGCTGATCTAGTGCTGTACGGGTCTGACCACCCCACGGCTGATACTTTTCTTAGTTATGGCACATTCATTTTCTCTCAGTGGGAATACACGTCCTAGGCAACGTGTACCACCCCTGTGCTTTTCAGTTTGTATGAATTATGTTAATTTGCTGCTTTTCACAGTGACGGTAAGGACTTGGTAACTAGATTTCATGCTAGAGACTGTAGAATTAGAGCTAAAAAGAAAGCATTCACAGAAAGGGAGACTATGCATGAGATTGAAAAACATGTGGAATAATTTGAATGATTCAAATGTGTGCACCCATGAAATTAATAACAACAAAATGGCATGTTCGGACAAGCCAGCACTGTTAGCTTCAAGATCTGATGTTGTACTGTTTATTAATGGCCTGCTGACTCTGGAGGTCCAGTGACTGGATGGCGTGCAGATGATAGAATTTCACCTGGAAGACAATAAAACTGTCCAAAAATCTCATGGACTTACACTGAAAGAAAGGACTTTATGATATGATATGACAAAATGAATGTTTTTTTTTTTTATTATTCGAACAGACATGGATATCATTTTAAAATGAGAGCGAGAGAGTTCAGTAAGTTCAGTGTTTCAAAGTTTTACAAACCTTTAGTACACAAAAATGGCTTCATTCACTGAAAGTACTGATAACTTGTTATTGATGTTGCTTGAGTAACTGCTTTGTCTGACCATTCCAAACAAATGTTTCGGAGTCTTTTTGAAGAGCCAGCTCGTAGGTGTTTGGTTTGTAAATCAGACTATACCGATTGTGTCTATACAATCTATATGTTTGTTGTTTTGCATTCAGCAAGCGAGGACAGGATAACTCAATACAAATATGTCCTTTTATCTAATAACATTCTATTCAGACTGCAAACTCAAATTCACACATTTCCAATGGTGCTGGAGATTCAATGCCACAGGCAACACGACATGGCCGTGATCAAAATGATACTCGGATTTGTACCGGTAAATTTCTACTGGTTTATCGCCCACCTGTATGCTTGTGCATGACACTTACATGTTAAAGTCATAAAAGAATGTTTGATGGAAGACATGTTTACTGGAAAGAAAAGTACGGTATGACGTGTGAACCATTCTTTGAGTCCATATTAGCATGTACTGATAATTTGGTTTTGAAAAAAAAAAAAAAAAATTCCGAGCCACGTAATTTATTATTTTCTTTAATAATTCACATATTTTGAGATCATAAACCAGGCTTATGAGGTTCCGTTAGCTCAAATGGTAGAACTGGTAAGTTTCTGGGTTTAACTGTAATCCTGCTAAAATAATATAGTTTGAATGAGCTGTAGGCCACTTGGAATGTGGGGCGTGTCCAAATACACTTTTGCCAGTTTAACAACAAAAACAGTCGGCGTGTTAGGCGCATGGTCCAAAAAGGCAGAATTTGCAAGAGCAAAGACTGAACGCTTCTCCAGAGAGGAAACGGATCTGCTCATGCGCAAGGTTAAAGCGTACACAATAATAATCTTTTTACATTGTAATCCTTTCATTTTTAATATATGGCATGTTTGTGTGCTGCTTCGCAATAAGCAGAGTGTACGCATGTTGTCCATCCACATATAGATGCGTATTACTAACGCACCCTTTAAATTATTAAAAAATAAATAAATACTGCACCATTGACTTTAGACCAGGTTTTAGTTGGTCAATGGCGCAATTGTTTTCAGTTGCCTCAAAATAGCAACGGGCCAACAATGCGCCTGCAAACACCTAGTTTTCAGACCAGCAAGCCCATGAGCGAACAGATGGGCGCAAGTGCATTTGCTATTTAAACACTGTGGTGCTGTACGTGGAAATGATAACTGTGTCGAGCTGAAACTAGCAAAAACACTTGCGTCCTCCCACCTGGCGTCACATTGCGCCGGGTGTATGATGGGCCTCTTTATGTTTGTCAGAGTCTTGTGTAATTAGTTATATATCATTGGTTTGAATTTGCCAAGATTGATGTCTGTCTGTCCATCTGTCCGTCCGTCCATCAAAATCAAGGTTCACACTAAAATGTCTGAAATATGTCACAGTATGGCAGTAGTTGGTCGCAGCTTTCATTTTATAGCAACTAACATTTCGCTTTGTGACATTATTTTTATGACTGTTAAGAAGTCATGAAAATACTCTTGACACATTTTTTGTGAGATTCACCCAAATACCAGGTGTGAATGGTGATGTGTCTCAGTTGACCATGTGATCGTATCACTCGAGATGGATGTTAATACTAGGTGTAAATAGGGCTTTAGATTCTCCATTTTAATGTGCAGAAGCCTCAATCTCATGAAAATACTCTTGACACATTTTTTGTGAGATTCACCCAAATACCAGGTGTGAATGGTGATGTGTCTCAGTTGACCATGTGATCGTATCACTCGAGATGGATGTTAATACTAGGTGTAAATAGGGCTTTAGATTCTCCTTCAGTTCACCATTTAAATGTGCAGAAGCCTCATTGAGGTCAATTCACAAATACAAGAGAGGGCATCAGGAGCCCGTGCTAGAACACAATATCGACTGCACTTCAGCTTCATGAAGCGAAAAAGCTTCTCGCACAAAAAAAGGATTAAAACAGCCCTGGGCTATTTACTGGCCAATTTTACATAATGCCACACTCCTTTCCTTTTATTGTTCTCTTTTTGTTGCCCGATTTCTTTTTCCTTCTTTAATTTCCCACCTAATGGGAAAGTTCTGGCTGCCGTTAAAGACATTTTTCTCTTTTTATGGACCAAGCTTTGAGTTTTAAAACCTTGACACTTTTATGGAAAGTAATTTAACTCCCACTTGTGATTATTTAAGAAAATCAAAAGATCTT